TTTGCTCACCGTTCTTGTGATCATTTTGACCCCACGGGGTGAGATCTTGCGTGGAGCCCCAGATCGAGGGAGATTATCAGTGGTCTTGTATGTCTTCCATTTTCTAATAATTGCTCCCACAGTTGATTTCTTCACACCAAGCTGCTTACCTATTGCAGATTCAGTCTTCCCAGCCTGGTGCAGGTCTACAATTTTGTTTCTGGTGTCCTTTGACAGCTCTTTGGTCTTGGCCATAGTGGAGTTTGGAGTGTGACTGTTTGAGGTTGTGGACAGGTGTCTTTTATACTGATAACGAGTTCAAACAGGTGCCATTAATACAGTTAACAAGTGGAGGACAGAGGAGGCTCTTAAAGAAGAAGTTACAGGTCTGTGAGAGCCAGAAATCTTATTTGTTTGTAGGTGACCAAATACTTATTTTCCACCATAATTTGCAAATAAATTCTTTCAAAATCAGACAATGTGATTTTCTGTCTTTTTAAGTGGGCGAACTTGCACAATTGGTGGCTGACTAAATACTTTTTTTCCCCACTGTATGTGTTCAGATGTATTCATATGTATAGGTCCTGAACAACTGACTGAAAGACAATGTCCCCTTAATAAAGAGTCTCCTTTTTCTTCTAAAAAGATCAAATAAAATTGGACATAAACTGAAGAAACTAAACTTGAATGTCCTATCTAGTCTTTACTAAATTGTAAAGTTGCCTCTCTAACTTAACTAAGACATTTTTGATGTCATCAAAGTAAAACACCACAGAAGTATAATTCTTATCTATTTTCCAACTTCTTTCCATCCACAGTGTTATAAATTCACGACTCAAATAGCTGACTGTCAACACTTCCCCGTCAACAGAGTGCACGTGTCCAAGAAAGTGCAGAGACAGTGGAATATAATCTCATTATATCTGTGTCCCACTTTAAAACTTATGTTGAGATAAATCCATGTTGTTATATCTCTGTCTGCTGTTCCTCAGATCAAAGAGGCGTGTTTGCCATTTTAATTTGGAGCTTTTTGTAACGGCTGAATAACCAATAAGAGGAAGTGTAGCGCGGAGATCGCTGCTTAGCCGACGGCGTTTCCGACGCAAGGCAAACAGCGATCCTCTATCTCGCCCGCTCACAATCACTGACTGCCTTTCGATGTGTGAGAGAAATTAGTAATAAGGGAAAACTGAGTGTTTAATAAGAATATGTATTCATGAGCCGCCAATTGCCAGGGAAATGGAGTACATGGCCACGGGGAAGGTTGTTATCAATGTTTGTCTAAATATTTAATATCACGCTCATTTCGTACATTACCAGCCATGAAACGGTGACATTGGGAGCACTGTGAGTGTGAGACAAGCGTTAGTGGCTCACGGCTATATTTAGAGTCATTATCCTTGTGCATGAGCTTAGCATGCTGCTCACCTGTGACCACATACGCAGCCTCTTCCTCACAACTCACAAGCTCTTACAGGATGTGATGCAACATGTCCGTAGGAAAGTTAATCTCGTAGGCAGACACGAGGTGGAGAGCAGAAGAGCAACAGTAGTTGCCGAGGGTCCTACTTCTCAGGCATCAGAAGATCGTTTGTTATTTGGGTTGTTCGTGGCAACCTTGATGTTGTCGTCACGCTGAGGCAACATGAGAGAGAAACCCCTGCCTCCGTCCTTCTATAGGGTATATGCAGAGAGTGTGTGTGCCTGTGTGTGTTTGTTTTGAGGTACATGTGGGGTTGTGTGTTGCGAGAAACTGTTATTTAGAGGGACGAGGGATTGAATATTTCTCTTTCTATACATTATATACGTTTCCCATTTGCTGTTATCTGTTTTAATGGTCCACTTCATTTGTTTTGTGACGCAGTTTTGTTTGTGTTTACCCAGGCGGGGCTCAGGAAGCAGGAGCTGGAGAAGAGTGTGCAGTGGGCCCAGGAGAATGACAAGAGTCTGAGGCAGATCCAGGATTCGCTTGCCAGCACCGACCGACACCTTACTGCGTACCTGGCTGACCACATCGACGCCCAGCAGATACCGCAGGAGGCTCAGGTAGCCATCAGTGTGTAGCTGTGTGTGCGTGTAGGGACTAAGGAGAATCGTTTTGGGCCATAGCTTCTACATAATCTCTCTATTTTTCCGTTCACTAAGACTGGCTGTGTTCATGAGCCGTTCATATCACAGGGATCCTCCCCACGGAGACCGCCATCTTTCTACAGTAGCTCAGAACGGGCAAAGTAAAAGTGGCTTTAGAACTAGAGAGGGCCTTTATTTCATTCATTGTGTCCTAAAAGTTTAAAAAGACCTAATTAGTTGAATTATTTTCATGCTGCCTTTTATGTAAATGAGACGTTTGTGCTCTATGGGACAAATATGTGGGAGAGCATCCTAAGATAATTCAGTTTCATGCTCCACTGAGGAACTTTTCATAGGAATGAATGACAATACTATAACTAAATGCTAGCGTTACTGATAAGACTTAATCAAACCAAACTTCACCCCACTGGTCCCGATGTAAGCAGACCCCAACTGGACCTGCAGTAATTAAACTACGACCGGCTGAAGTCAGTTTAAATAGAAATGCTCCTAATGTAGAATAAGATGCCAATTCATCATCAGTAAGTGCAGCTTTTAGTTGACTCATGAAACACTGTCAAGCTCTTTGCCCTGTCAGGTTTTACCTCTAAGAGTGGCAGCTGTGTGGACAGGTAGAGGAATGACAGCTGAGTGGAAATATACTCCAGAGAGTGTGTGTGTTTGTCTGTGTGTTTGTTGTGTGTGTGCATGGGAACCCGAGAGAGAATGGCGAATGCTCTTTTTCTCTCTGTTGTCCTTATTAAGCCCGGGGCAACTTTGGACACGGGCAAGAGCGCACACACACTCTTACACACACACACACACACACACACACACACACACACACACACACACACACACACACACACACACACACACACACACACACACACACACGCGGATGGGAGAATGATTGGATTAAATTGGTGTGGATGAGCATATGTGATTACAGGGCACTTGGTATTTAAAAGCGAGAGGGGTGACAGAGGCCGTCTCTGGGTTTGAAAGGGGGGGGGGTGACAGGTTGTTAATGCTTTTAAGCATCCTCTCCTATCTCCTTGATCCCTCATGCCCCCTTGTGGTTATTATTAGGAGGTACACTATCAATGCATTCCAACTTTATTGGCTTTAGTCTGACTTTCAAAACAACATTTTCAGACCCATTACTTCACATTTTTATATTAATTTTAGTTCAAATAAAGTTATGGTTCATTAACATAATTTGTCTTATCCTTTTTATTTTTAATTGGTCTTTTATGTGCATGTTCAACAGAAAATCCAAGCGGAGCTGAGCGGCCATGAGGCAACCCTGGAGGACATGAAGAAGAAGAACCAGGACAAAGACCCGAGGGTTATGGGACAGATAGACCTCACACAGGTACACACTCACACGTGAACATGTACACACACATACTGAGGGATTTTCTGGAAAATTGTGTTTTGTCAGGAGATTTAAATGATTAATGAAGGTATCTAAGTTGTGCCAGCTGTGCATAACATAGCAGGAGAGGTGTGGATAAACAATCCACTGACAACATGGAGTATTCTTCTTCCTCTGCAAACTTCACCTAACACCTGCATTTCATTATTTATATAAATATATCTTTGTGTCTCTTCCTTTTCACAGAAAATGCTGGCAAACGTGTGGACGAAGTTCCGGCTCTTCCAGAAGCCGGCCAACTTCGACACTCGTCTGACCGAGTGCGAGCGCTTGCTGGCTGGGGTGAAAAGCCAGGGGGGGGTCCTGGACATCCGCAGTGTGGAGCAGGACGTGGTGCAGTCACAGCTGGACCAGTGCATGGTGGGTCATCCAATCAGATGCGGTGAATAGATGCTTTGATCCTACATTAAGCCCCTGCTGTGTGTTTGTGTCCAACAGAAGTTGTATAAGGTGCTGAGTGAAGTGAAAGGGGAGGTGGAGACGGTGATAAAAACCGGCAGGCAGATCGTGCAGAAGCAGCAGACGGAGCAGCCCAAAGATATGGACGACAGGGTGACCGCCCTGAAGCTGCTCTACAACCAGCTGGGCTCTCAGGTAACAACACACACAGATAGTTAAGCTCACATGATCATACAGGTCAGATTTAAACATGATTTATGTGTGTAGGTGACGGAGAGTAAGCTGGAGCTGGAGAAGAGTCTGAAGTTGTCCAGGAAGCTGCGTAAGGAGCTCAACGGGCTGACGGAGTGGCTCGCTGCCACCGATGCTGAGCTGACCCGGCGCTCCGCTGTGGACGGCATGCCCAGCGACCTGGAGGCGGAGGTGGAGTGGGCACAGGTATACACAACATAAGGTCATAGAGAAACTTGCTAGAAATAGAAACAATTACCTGGAGCTTTCAATAGGTAATGGCATTCTGTCTCTCAACTCTCTTCTCTTTTAAATCCTGTCAGTCGATCCACGAGGAGACGGAGAGGCGCCAGCCGCAGCTGCAGGCCGTGGTGGACCTGGCGGAGGCCCTGAAGGCGGTGCTGCGGGGCCACGGGGGCCTGGTGGACGACAAAGTCAGCCTGCTGCGCTGCAACTGGATCGCTGTCACATCCAGAGCAGAGGAGTGGCTCAACCTGCTGCTGGTCAGAGAACACATCTGATACATATTTATCCGTCTCATCAGTGCTAAAATTAAACCCAAACTCTAAAAATAACCCTCTAAAAGTGTCGTTGTTTGCACACTCAAGTTTCTCTCTCTCCTTTCTCCCTCAGGACTACCAGAGGCAGATGCAGAAGTTAGATGGAGAGATAAAGGAAGTGAACGGATGGATCGACGGAGCGGAGAAGAAGATGGATGAGATAGCGAGCCAGGGACCCAACGACGCTGCGCTCAAGGTTGTAATGTCTGTATGTGCATATGTTGTGCTTACCTTGTGTGTTTATTGGTGTTTTACCTCCAGTCATTCTCCGTAGATTAGATGTCAGTGAATGGATTTTGAGAAGAAATGCAGTATTTCTTAAAAACCCAGATAATTATCCTGTTGTTAACAGCTCTTACAGAGAGAGATCAATCATCAACAAGCACTTATCTTCAATCTTTATTTATTTATTTATATAGCACATTTAAAACCACCTCAGTTGACCAAAGTGCTGTGCAGGCAATAAATACAATATCAAATAACACAATGGGAGTACAATGATAAATCAATAATTGAAAACATGATAAAAAGCACAATAACTAGAAACATATAGAAACACATACAAATGTAAAAATGTAACTCAACGATTATTAAAAGCCAGGTCAAAGAGGTGGGTTTTTAGCTGAGATTGAAAAAGTTCAATAGACTTCTGTTAGCGCTCTCTTTGAATGTGTAAACTATTTTATGTCATATTTTTCTCAAGGAATTTCCTTCCTTAGGAAAGAGCTTCTGTGGCTAACTGTGTGTGTGTTGCAGGTGTTGCGTGCGGAGCTGGATCTGACGAAGGGAAAGATGGAGGGGGTGAGGACTCTGGCCAAGGAGCTCATGTCCACCAGGGGGGAGAAGTGCCAGGTCCAAGTGAGGCCCAAAGTGGAGCAGCTCAACCACAGATTTGAGATCATCGCACAACGCATCAGCAGCGGAATGGTAGGAAGAGTAAAGCCCTCTGAGTACTTTCATTTTGAAATTCTAAGAGCGTCTGATAAGATTTAGTCTAGATTTTTTTGTTTGTTATTTAGCTTGAAAACAGTTAAATTGAATCTTTTCATAATCCAACTATTTCCATAAATGTACTTCCAAACAAACTCCCGTTAAATACACTCTCCCTAAATTGATTTCTCTAAATAGACGCGTAATCTGCGCCGACCTCTCCCAATAAATGCTCTCCCTCTAGGCCACTGATGATCTTTCTTTTGTGTGTGTGTGTGTGTGTGTGTGTGTGTGTGTGTGTGTGTGTGTGTGTGTGTGTGTGTGTGTGTGTGTGTGTGTGTGTGTGTGTGTGTGTGTGTGTGTGTGTGTGTGTGTGTGTGTGTGTGTGTGTGTGTGTCAGACGGCAGCGTCGGCTAAGGAGCTGGAGCAGTACCACAGTGAAGCTCAGATCTGGCTGGAGCTCCTGGAGGAGGAAGTGAAGCAGGGGGAGAACCTGAAGGAGGAGGACTTCCAGGAGGACAAGGTCCCTCGCACACAGATAATGATTTCTCTTTTCCTTTCGTATCGTGTGTGCAGCTCTAAACAGTGTGTGTGTGTGTGTGTGTGTGTGTGTGTGTGTGTGTGGCGCAGGACTGTGAGGAAGGTGCAGTGAAGGAGTTGCTGTTGAAAGGAGAGAATCTACAGAAGAGGGCCCCGGATCAGGACAAGAGGGAGCAGATCAGGCTGAAGCAGAACCAGCTCAACAGCAAGTACAACACCGTCAAGGTAACACACAGTGCAACACACAAGTGGAGCAGAAATACAATAAATGCTGTCCTCCTTAAAGATTTAGAGAGACTTGCTACAACAACTTTATCTTTCTATATTGTGTGTGTGTGTGTGTGTGTGTGTGTGTGTGTGTGTGTGTGTGTGTGTGTGTGTGTGTGTGTGTGTGTGTGTGTGTGTGTGTGTGTGTGTGTNGTGAACAGATTTACTTTTTCTTTATGGATATTTTACAAATCACTCCCCTTTTAAACTTTGTTCATTTTTTTATGTCATTTTAAAAATAAGAGAATACATTAAAATGACATAAAAAAATGAACAAAGTTTAAAAGGGGAGTGATTTGTAAAATATCCATAAAGAAAAAGTAAATCTGTTCACAGTTCTGTGTTGAGAGATGTATCCATAGATCTCTTCATTTTGCTCTCTAAGTGCACCAGATTGATGCTTTTAACTTCAATATTTAAAAATAAATCTTCCTGGGGGAGCTTGCCCCCGGACCCCCCTATGTGAGGTCCACACACCACCTATAAAAATAGCACTTTACCCCTGCTTACACCTATATGCCGTGAGCTGATTATCGAGCCTTCATTGTAACAGTCGCGTGTACATTGTGTATATGCGTGGGGAGTGTTGCAGTCGAACATTCCACTGTAGCGACCGGTACATTAATGGGAAACCCTAAATGTTTGAGCACCCTCTATAAAACGTCAAGCTACCCCACAGCACCCCAAAATAAATCTCTGGCGCCGCCACTGAGCCTGACTATTTGTGTTGGGGGGGGCCCGACTTTTTTTTTTCTCCAAAGGGGGGGCCTGACAGAAAAAGTTTGAGAACCACTGCCTTCAGTGGAGGAATGCAAACCTGTTTTCAAATGTAAGGTTTTGATTTTGTTTGACCTTTCTCAGTAATGACACCCTCAGANAAACGTCAAGCTACCCCACAGCACCCCAAAAAATCTCTGGCGCCGCCACTGAGCCTGACTATTTGTGTTGGGGGGGGCCCGACTTTTTTTTTTCTCCAAAGGGGGGGCCTGACAGAAAAAGTTTGAGAACCACTGATCTAACTCAAGGGGAAGAAATCGAATAATTATATTTCTTAAAACATCAAACTATTCCTGTAAATGCTTCGAGTAATGGGATCTTTTTTCTGCAACCATTCAGGGTTGTAGTTCCTAGATAATGAACCTGAATACATCCCTCCCACAAGGGTATCAACAGTACTTCATCCAATATATCTGAGTGTGTGTGTAGAGAATCAGGATTGGGTGCGGTTCAGGTGGCAGCTTGCGCGTTGAGGTAGCAGATGGTTCTCTGTCTCTCACACACACATATGTTGGCACTTGAGTGGCACTTGGACGGTGCATCCTCGTCTGTGCAGGTGGACATTGAGAGCTGATCACAGCAGCCTAAAGTGGACTGGGCATGTCTGATGATGCAAACAAACACTTATGCACATACACGTAACAATACTTAATATGCAAGGTGGAATGCATCAGTTTAACCACAGCTACTGAAACTCAGAGACACATCTTTAAAAAACGTGTGCATTTCCCTCTGTGAAAACCACTCATGGTGATGTTAAACTCCTGTTTGTGTCCAATTACTTCTCATAATACTTCAACGAAATGTCAGATCGGAGAAACATAATAGTGTTGCATAAGTCTGAAAAGGAAAATGTTATGTCTTTGTCGAGACTCACTGCATTCTCCTGTGTGTGTGTGTGTGTGTGTGTGTGTGTGTGTGTGTGTGTGTGTGTGTGTGTGTGTGTGTGTGTGTGTGTGTGTGTGTGTGCTATTCACAAGACAGACATTTTGTTTTATTGTATTATAATCAAACTTAATTAATTAATTATCTAAATTATTAAAAGGACACACAGTAAAGAAATATTAACATGGTCTGTGTACATTTACTCATTTGTTTTGCATATCAGGAGTAAATTAAACTACTTAAACATAAGAGATAAAGGCTGGAATTATTGTCGTAATATACTTTAAGTAATTATTCTATCAGGTGCTAATGGACCATAAATGAATCATGATGACACATTTTGATATCAGCATGTCCTAATATTGCGTGTTAGGCCATGAGATGTCACATCTTGTTCTCGTGTGCTACTTCATCCCACTGTGAAAGATAATTTGTCTTTTTATGTAATCAGTGTGTGCAGAAAACTAAGAAACAGAAAGGGAAGCAGTTCTGTGCCTTGCTCAAGGGCATGTCAGCAGTGTTGGTGGACACTGGAGATGAAATATGACTCAGGCACAGCTGGAATACACTCAGCAGCTTTCTGGGTACAATCAGCGATGTGTGTGCAAGCCTGTCTTTATAATTGTGTGTGTGTGTGTGTGTGTGTGTGTGTGTGTGTGTGTGTGTGTGTGTGTGTGTGTGTGTTACCCTGAGGTGCTGCTTGTGTGCTGCTGGCTCGCTCTCGGCCAGTCTCAAAGAGCTCTCAGCGTTGTTCAGCCACTCCTCCATCGCCTTCTGATCCGACACAAACTTCTGCCACTTGATGTTGCAATCCTGCCAACGCCTTGATGTGCGCACACAAAACAGATTGTCATTAAAATATGTGGACAAGATGAATCAATATCCATGTAATTATTTCCCACACACACTGCTGCCTACAACTAGGAAACTGGACAATTATAAAGCAGAAGACAATGTAAGAAGAGCGTTGAAAAGGCAAAAAGGGACTGTTGAAGCTGATATGATAACATGTGACAAATCAAATGGATTGATCCCTCCACCCCCTACCTACTTCTGTCAAGTGTTAAAACAGTAATTGGCAATTACGTTGAAAGCAGAGGAGGAATATTTGTCTTTAAAGGGCAAATCAAATATTGTCGTGCTACGTCAGAAAAAGTATTTTGATATGTCGTATAATATGTTCAAATATATACAAATCATATTCAACCCACAAAAACCGTACAGCCTTACTTGAGTCTGTCCTGGTGGAGCTTGTTCAGTTTGTCCCAGTTAGTGTTGAGAAGGGAGGCGGTCTCCTGGATCCTCTGACCCTCCAGGGGCCGGGCCCCCGACACCATCTCCTCTCTGCGGGCCAAGGCTCCCTCCACTGGGCCCCGCAGCTCTTCAATGCTCGCCTTCACCTCCTGTGTGGGAGATGGATGAAGTTATCTTTAGATGAATACGCTAACTGTTACCCTCTGCCTCCAGTCCTTATGCCAAGCCAAGCTAACTGGCTGTATCATCATATTGTAACGATTTGATCGGTATCAATATTCTCCTCAAAGTCCAGTACCCTCTATCTATCAGACTGCATGTACTCTCTGTTTGAATGTCTTTGATATTTGCTGAGAACTGTTTTCTGTGCAGCAGTACTGACCTTCAGACAGAGGTCCTGCTGTGGCAGGTTATAATACGCTGCTGGCCAGTACTCCGGAGAGTTCAGCTTGAAGTCCGTCTCCGACACTGAGCGCAGCAACGCCTGCAGCTCGATCAGGTACTCCTGAAGAGCATGTATTCACAAACACACAAAGATGAGAGGTAGTTTAGAAAGAAGGAACATGTTACGTCTTTATATAAGAAAAGATGTTTTGTATCATGCTTCTCTAACAGGCAACATATCAAAGCTAGCTCTAAGGGGGCACATATCAGATGTTCAGTAGAAACTGATCTGGGACTTCATTATTAAACAAGATCATGGGTGGAATTACATGTAAGTCTTGACAAGGTTTGAATCAGTTTTATAGAAAACTTAAATATTCAATGAAATAAATTATACATATATTTGTTTACATATAAAAATGAATTTTTGTGGATGATAATTCCAACAATGAAGCCCTAGATCGTTTCTTTTTGAGCAGGAGTTAAACATGTTATTAAACCTTATTGTATATCATGATCATATCCAAGCTTGCGTCAACTCACATTTGATATATTTAATCAGTAGATGATGAATACACTTGTGTATCCTCATATGAAGTACATGATATATTTCCATGACCATGATGCACAATACTCATCTCAACAGAAACTCAACATGGCAATGTGTGCAGAGGGATTGTGGGTATTAACACTCGGCTCTGTTCTTTTCACCTCAGTGTTATGCTCCTTTCATTGGAGCTCCTGCCTTTAAATTACATTTTTTAATTAACCCAAAATAAAAAACAGATTAGCATTATTAGCAGCCTCGCAGACCGTTAATGATCGCTGCTGGCCTTAATGAGTCGGCTCGGTGTTTGCCTGGTGTGACAGTAATAACGTCTATAACGGGTGGAAAGCTGGGGGTCAGACACCATAAGCCTTACATTTCCCATAATGCCACTTCACTGTTTCTCCATGCATCCTTGTGAATACCCACTTTCTAACTCCATACCGTATTTTACAACACATGCTTGACATCAGATGACATCATCCGTTATTTCATCAGTTTTAGCTCAGGAAAAAATGGAGTCTTATGTTTTTTTCCCCATTTTTACTTAATTGAAGAAAGTTTAATCCGACATCTGACACATGTATGTTTGTTATGAAGTGAAATATGGCCAGAGTTTTAAGAGTCCCAGTATCCCTGCTGCACACCATACAAAGTTTGAATGGTAAAATCAAAAATATTGATCCAATAACATAACTCTGACGGGGCTAAGTATTACTTTGTTCATTGTTTCATTGTACACATGGGTATATGTGAGAATTGTGTTTGAACTAGATTTACTTCCCAGGTAAGTGAGTCAGAAATGTCTCAGTTGCACCAGAAAGCTTCTTCCAGCATCTTTAAGCTAAACCAGAGTTGATGAGCATATGTTGGCATTATCTGATGTTGCCACTGCTCCAGACACATATATTGGTATATGAATTAAATGCTTGAATGTGTGTCTTTAGTGATTGCAGACTGGGTTTTAAAAAACTCAAAATGTCTCCCTTTCTGATGATCTGGTTTACTCTTCCCTTTCTTGTTCTATTCCACTTGGACTGAATACACATCTAAACTGTTTTTCTCTTTATAACAAACTAAAAAAACATGATAATAGGTGGCAACACTGCAGCAGTTGCAGCTCAAAAATATAAAATTTCAGGAGGAACATGTTACTAACATTGAAGTGTTTGTATTATCCAAATGAAAGGTTACAATGGGCCCTCTATTCTTATTCCTTTCCTTTAAGATATCATGAATTCATATTGTAACATTACTTATATAAAGGAATAAATGGATTCTTCTTAAAAGTCTTATGTCAATCTGATATGATGGCTGTTGTCTCTCCGCATGTCCATCCACACAAGGTCAGCTCGACAACACCCCTGGAGTTGGCAGGGATTGAGTGATTTGCTCAAGGACACTTTGTGTTACATAAGTTTTGGTGCCTATTATTAGCTCGTGCCCAGCTTGGAGAATATGGAAAGTAAGTGCACCAATTACTGCTCAAGAGTCCTAAAGCAATGCACCAAAGTGCCAAAACAGCTTGAGTGGAGCCGCTCAGAGGCCTTACACTGACTGTGTTCTGAGTGTGGTCTCTCGTTGACTCTTAATACGTGCTTATGATTCCTCTTAGTGCGCCTGAATAAATGCATAACTGAGAGTCTGAGATCTGACAGTGGAGATGTGCATTGGTCCAAGTGTATACCATATGGTGTATGCAGCTGATTCAACTGATGTGATTGGTTGACAGGATACATACATCTTCAGTGATGGGCAGATCAGGGAACTGCCAGGGTGTAATGTGATTGGTTGGCATGCAGTGACACAGAGCAAGACAGAGCAACCAATGAGATTCAGACATGTGAGCGTGCTTCACATGTACACAGAAAATAATGAAAATGCAGCAAAGAAAAACAAAAAAAGCAACTCACACCTTTTTTATTTGACCTTTTAGGGGCATTACTGAAATTATGTAGCTTGATTTATTGTAATAGATTTAGATAAATGTCTTACCTACATTTAGCAAAATATGCTTATTAGCTTTCATGCCAATAGTTAGCTTATAAGTTAACTTTGGTGCTATTTGGCAAAACTTGTGGTATAACTGTTTCTAAATAGCACTGGTGGGAATTAGCGTTATAAGGTGGTGCAGGAATGAGTCCTTGATCCCAGGTCAGAACTTATATAGTTGTATTTGGAGCTGGAATAAGTAGTAGAGTATTAGTACTGTAGATATAGAAGTCGTGCCTACTGAAACTCACACATTGTCTTTTGAAGGGTAAGAACTTGCCCTCCACCTCAACCCAGCGCGTGTTGAGCTGGAGTTGGCGGGGCTCCACTAGATTGGCGGCTCCAGCTTCTGACAGCTGATTGGCTAAGCCCTGCACCTCGTTAAGCTCCTCCTTCTTCTTGTCGAACTCTGAGCCAATTTCCTATTGGATGAGATCAACCGTGGGGTCACTCGCTATTGGATAAGCTTGGGGGGGGGGGGGGGGTGAGCACAGAGAGGCATGTGGATGTGGAATAGTACACATTCACACACGGTCGATAAATATATTATAAAAATGATAAAACACTCACACACTCCAACAAAGACACAACACATTGATAAAAGACACATCATGTTTGTAAGTGTCAAACATACACAAGTGGTTCATATTGATACTATACTGTATGTATCTCCACTTCAACAATCCATATCAAATAAGAAGGTGGTGCTGTCATTAGGTGCCGTGATACTTTATTTACATTTGAGAAGTAGTACAATCATCAGAAGTGTGAAGTGTGAAAAGAAGCAAGGAAAGACAGAAAGACAGATAGATGAGCAGACAGACAGACAGACAGACAGACAGACAGACAGACAGACAGACAGACAGACAGACAGACAGACAGACAGACAGACAGACAGACAGACAGACAGACAGACAGTGAGGAATCTCAGTTGCGGCAATGACAGGTGAGTCTGAGGCGAGCGAATCAGACGTCCCCTTAGCGAAATGTCATAGTGACCATCTGAAAGTGAAAGACACACACACAAAGTCAAGGTGGGGGAAGAAAAACAGGGGGGGCCAGGGCTCCAGTGTCAAGCCTTTTCCACATCAACACATTGGACATGGAGCTCAAAGGTGTAAATGTATTTGTTGTGTAGTGAAATTGCTGAAGAATACAAAAATGAAAGTCTGGTAATGTCTTTAAAAATGGTTTATAACACACTTTAGTATTGTAGTATGTAGAATGTCATACTCTGTCATATGAAACATCTGTACCTGGTGTAGATACTATATCAATTATATAAAATACAGTATTTCATATTTAATTAGCTGGGTTTTTTGGTTGTTTAACAGAAAAAAATTGTTTTTTGTGACGGAATAAATATTTAAATAAATGTATCAGAAAATATATAAATATAAACATAACAGTACATTAAAATATTATAATTATGATGTACTCACTTTGCGAGTTATTTTGAACCTCAGCTGTTATAAGCTATAATAAAAAACAAATAACGATTCCACTGTCTCACAAATAACTGTGTAATTAGCCTCCTTCCAACGCTCGGTCTACCACAGAAAAAAGCCAGACAAAAACAGTCGTTTTTCTGGGTGGAGGGAATTGATCAGCAATTACTTTCTTTAAATAGAAACAAGGAAGATGTCCTGGAACAATTATTCTGAAAATGGTCTTCATAAGGGAATAAAAGCAACGAAGCATTTGTCGAAAAGCAGGGGAAGAGGAGAAGTGAGAAACAAAGAGAATAAGGATTTGAGAAAAGATTAAAGACACAGACAGCGTGAGATGAAGAGCTGGATGAAGAGGAGGAGAGAGATAAACAATAGAATGGATTTCACGCTTTATGGTAATTTCTTAAAATAGCAGAAAGATATTATTATCCATGTACATATGCACAATGTGTGTGTGTTATCACCTTGACCCTCTCTCCCTCGGGGGGGTCGGGCAGTTGGTCCACGCTGCGTTGAATGTCGTCCAGCCAGGCCAGCAGGTCATGTGACTTCCTCCTGTACTGGTACCACTGGGGAGCGATGGCCAACGCCTTCCTGTTCCTCTGAAACCGCAGGTCCTACAC